ATAGATAGATAGATAGATAGATAGATAGATAGATAGATAGATAGATAGATAGATAGATAGATAGATAGATAGATAGATAGATAGATAGATAGATAGGGTTTTACAAAGCATATACTTTAGAATACAGAGCAGGAAAAACACAGTCAGGTCTGACCACAGATATCTCAGCCACATCATTCAGGTTGAACCCAAAGTTGTTTTCCTTCATTTTGCTGTTTGAACCCAAAGCGGAGTTCATTCTGGACAAAAATGTGGATTTTGTGAACTGTGATCTTCTCTTTTTTGGTAACTATGCCCAGCTGCAGTAACTTGGTCTTGGTGCAGTGACAAGCTTTAACCCTTTAAATCCTGAACTGTGAGATAATTGAAAAAATTGAGCATTTATTGAACCTTCTGATTTAAAAAATGTTTTTAATATTAATATACATAAACTAGTTTTAATTTGTATCGTATTTGTTCCATTTGAAAATTTTGTTCAGATCATTGCTTAAAAATCTGTTGTGCAATTTATTTAAGATGTAGAAGTCTAAAAAAACTCATGCATCAAATATGATACACTAGACATTAAGGGGTTAAATAAAGGTATTTACTCCATTTCATGTCAATATGCGCAGTACTTTAGTGGTATAGTATGTGCATAACTATCTTTGCATTAACCAGAGCAGAATGGTGTCTTTGCACGCATGCGTTTCCTTACTGTTGAGAGAATGCATGTATTTCCATTCATTTCCATATGGCATGGACAGATATGGAATTAGTCACACTGTGTCTGCATGCATTGTTGTCACGCAGGCTAATTTGAAAAGTCTGTGCTGCATTATGTTGTGACAATAATGTACATTTGGATCTAGTTTTGAGAGGTAATTGAATTTTTTTTAATGGAGGAGGAATGAATGGACGCCGCGAAGAAATCAACTCAATCTGCAAACAATGAGCTTTACTACAAAATAGACCAGCTCTTAACAAATCTGAGTTTTTTAAGGTTTCAGCCTGGTTTTCCTCACAGAAAAAGCTTGCAGTACCTGAAACACCTGCATCTGCTCCAGAGTGATCTCCTGACTCTGGCCGTGCTCCCTGTGCAGATGGATTGCTTTCATAACGAGTCCTGAGTCTAAAGACAAAAAAAATAAAAATAAACAAATCATTCACCATATTTAATTTTGAAAAAACACTTTAAAATGCCAGAAACACAACCTTCAATGTCACATGACCTACCTGTACCGATGAACAGCACGTCGTAGGTGCCATCGACAGCCTCCACTCTGTCCACCAGCAGTTTGGTGAACTTGTAATGAACACCCACCCTGACCAGGAGGGGTCGCTCTCCAAGCGGCAGGACATTTTCCTATAAAAAATTTAAAAAAAGCAAGAATGCATCACATTAAATGTGAAATCTTTGACCAATAAATTTGTTCAGCCAGTCTTGCTATTCATCATTAATACAGCAAAGGTTTCATATTCCCTGTGATGAAGCAGTGCCCTGTTGGCAAGGACTGCTAATTTAATTTCCTATGTTCACTTCAGAATTTAGACAGAAATAGAGAGAAAAAAACAGCTTGACCTGCTGTAAAATGCGGCAATCTAATTAAGCTAAACTGGCTTAATTTAATAAAGTGAAATATCAGCCAAACCTGCAGCAGCGGATGAGTTCTGCTGAAGAAAATGACGTCGTCGGGATACTCTCTGGTCGAGCTATAGCTTCCATATGTACTGCTCGGACACTGACAAAGAAAGAGAGAGACAGAGACTGAGATCATAATGTTTCCAGTCTTTTGTTTTGAGCATTCTTATATGGAAATTAAGCACAATTTTGCAGAATTAAATGACCCTCCATCAAAGACAGCATATTATTGCAATGTATTACCTTGGTAAATCATGCATTTGCTTTTAGAGAAATACAAAAAGTCACCTGGAGAGATAGCGGTGGTATCTACCAGTTTTGAGTATGAACTTACTGTTCCTGGCCGTGGATAGGGCACCTTGCCTGTAAATTCTGCCCATTTATACTGAGGCCCTTCCTTATGCAGGAAGTTCCCTTTAAAGGCTCGAACCACATCCTCCATTCGGTAAACACACACCGCTGAACCGTTCAGGATATCACTAAGGAGAAGACAAAAGGAGAGCAGATTCAGACATCAGATATGTCTGAAGCAGAGCATACCTTTGATTACTTTACTTGATATACTGCAAAGGTCTTTAAGCAGTAAATGGAGTACTGTATTAGGAGCTGTGACTCATTGTGGCTTTCCAGCTTGAACGCATCAATTAAATGAATGCGCTCCAACCCAAAATCCAGCCTGGGTGAATATGCTGCTTTCAGCACATCGGTCCCCACTATAACACATCCCATCCACTGCAGTTAAGATCACACATTTCAGGAGGATTTGTGGCAAAGCACGCACGAGCTAGAGATTCCAGCAAAGCAGAAACAGAACAGATAGAAAGGCCATGTTATGATGAATCAGGGGGCTCTTAGAGAGGAAGCTTTTTTCTCTCCTCAGTGGTCAGAGGTCTCAGTCTGGTATTCAGATGCCAAATCATACAGAGTACAAAAGTGAACCATGACGTTGTAAAAAAGCATTCATGTCAGCCTCTAAATTGTGTTTTTACAAGTTGGGGATGTCACCTTTACACTTGTAAATTCTCCTCTTTCCTATTCTGTTTTGTTTATAAGTGGCCTCCTCTGGAAGCTCACCTGCACAAACATTCCTCCACCTGAGCAGACCTCAGTCCCCTGTTGCTTTTTGCGGTTGTGCTTTAATAATTATTAGTTGTGTTGCAGGTTATTGGCAGTGCTGTTAGTTTCATGGAGTGGTTCAACTTTACCAAAGGTGTGCTACCAGGAGTTGAGCTTAGGGTCTAGTTTTACTTTGGGTCCCGGCCACTTTGCATTGCGAGAATAAATGTGACAACAAGGCTATCGGTGGGCAAAATCAATTAATCAGCTGTCTGATACATTATGAATCACAAACAATTAAAAATAAAAGCAGAGAGCAAAATAAAAGCAAAGAACTGTTAACACGCTTGCCTTCATCACAGGCATAAAAACCGGCACGTGTGCAATCGTTACTGTACCAGAGAGACAAGTCTCCTTTCAGAAGGAATGACCTTTTTGCTCTTTTCCAGTTCTGTGGTTGCGACCGCACCCTTGGTGATGCTTTGGATTTCTGTTCCCTGCTAAGATTCCACACACTTTCCAAAACCCCCAAAAACAGACCAACTCCCTGCTCTGCCATGCCAGATGCCGTCATACTTTTGCTGCTACTGTGGAGCTCTGGCGTCCAGCTCAGAAACTGTGTTATTCTCTGGATATGCAACATGGTCAGTGGAGTAGAGAAAATGAGAAAACGCAGCCTTTTTCTTTTACTTTAATTAGGCTGCTCGCTGGATCATTTTTTACTCGTTTTTCAGACAGAACCTGCTTTTTTCATGTCTGTGTTTTTTCAGCAGACATCTGCGTGAGCTTTTATGAAAGCCTGTCTATTCGGACAACTGCCTTTTTTAAACTAACAGCCTTTGATGGTCTGAAAGAATATTTTTGATTCTTCTCTATTATGTCTGACATGTATGCAATTTGTACATTTCCTAGGCTTTAACGTAGACTTCAACAGAAAGCATATCTCCTGTGGGCTGCTTCATAGTAGCCTTTTTATAAAGGGTATTTATTATTCCTTTTTTCAGTCATGTAAATTAAACATGGTCAAACGTTTCAAATAATTAAGGCCAGCATATGTACAAGTGATCATGCAAGTCTTACTTCTGGCTCTTTGTGACCTCATCGGGAACATATAAATTGGGAGCCAATCAGAAGAAAGTTGGTTGAAAGGCCCTAAAGCACTTGTCCTCAAAAGCATTTTTTAAACTGTGAGTTATGCAAAGCTGCTTTACAGTCTTGTTGAAAATCATCAACTCCTTATTAAAGTCACAATTCATTTTTTTTGCAATTTTGTCCTCATGCACTTCTTCCAGGATCTCAAAATTGCCTTTTTGTCTATTTGTGTGTGAAAAAATACAGTAGAAGTCAAGTTGTAACCTTTCTGTAACACAAACACACACACACAGTTGGACACAGATGAAGAAACTGTGCACTGATGATGACAACTGTGAAGGCTCATATACGCTCCATGTTGTTCACATGAATGGATGCATTTCATTCATGAGTCACTGTGACATGAGACCCGGCGGGTGGTGTGTATCTCACAGCGTGTGACATCAACATCTGACACGTGGATGTGAAACATCGAGCACTCATATCCTGTCACAGACGCTCTCTTGTCATCGTGTGTCATCACAGTACAGGACGGTGCAGATGATCATTTATTCAGTATTTGAAGAAAAAAAACTTTATACTTTTATTTTCTTCATATTTTAAAACGATTACCACTAAAAAAAAAAGCTTCTTATATCACATGTTTTAACTTGTTAAAAATGACATGTTGAGGAGTTACTGTGTGGGTCAACAGGTATTTATCGTTAAAGATCTGATGCTTCTGTCATCTGTTTTTAATTCAGTGGTTTGAAATTCTCACTAAAACCTCATCAGCCTCCACTGTCGTCGGCAGTTCAATTTACAGCTGGCTTTAAACTGCTTTTAAACCTTTTATTTAAACAATTACAGCAATTCCTGCCTCTGGGGCCCCAAGAAACCCAATGCTCCATAATAAAACTGTCACCAAAAAGTATAACTATGCATACCACGGATCCTATTTCAAAATAAACTATTGACAAATCATCTAATCCTTTTCAAGAAATCGTATTTATCCTGTACACGTTGAGTACACAGTTACTCTTCTCCTCTCTTCCACTCTTTTGCACTCCATTTCTATTCTTTTTTTTTTCTTCTTTTTTATTTGCATGGCTTGATCAATACAGAACTAAATGCTAAGGACTAAAGTCCTTCTAAAACTAGTCCGCCCAGTGTAAAAGTGAAGGGACTCCTTCCCATCTACCACCATATACTGACATTTTCCACACATAAACAAGGGTATGCAGTTTACACACCACCCATTCAAGTTACTCAATTCCCATGATTTCTGCTTTACAGAGGCACATACCTTGAAGTGGTAAACAGGCCGTAGATGAGAGGATTCTTCTTGTCTTTCCCCTGGAGGATGAAGATGTCCTCTGAATGGAGAACATCCAGACATAATGATGAAAGGAAGGGAGGGATAAGGAGAAAGACGGGGAAGGGAAATGGAAGGAGACAAAGACATAAAAATGTTAGTCAGAAAAGATCAGAATGATGTCTGAATTACGGAGAAGTTTTGGAGAGTTGCACAGGACTGCATAAACTCTACGTGTCTGTATTCATGTGAGCAATGCTCATGAGTCTGTGTAACAGTCTATTTTCTTTATTTGTGTGAGTGTGTGTTCAGTTTTAGGTACTTTGTATTCATTATGTGTATGCCCGTGTGCGTATCTGAGTGTGTGCATCTATCAGTCTGACTGTGTGACTAATAGCGTCGGGCATGCTGGCAGCATGGCTGACTGGCTGCTTGTAATGAATCTGTAGCCATTAATAACCAGCCGCAGTGGGAGAGCCGAGCGCTCCGTCCGCCACAGGAACACAGCACCTGCTGTCACACACGCTAACACCACACCTCGGTCTCCACTCATCATTTCAAACACAGCGGATCACACACACACACACATTTGATATGTTTTTCTCACTTTGGCGTCGCTCTGAAAGTGATCCGCTCATGCAGCGCAATCAGGTGTAGTGCGGATTTGTTTTTTTAGCTCTTTCCATCTGTCTGCCTTCGACACCTGATAGCTCAGCGGCCATAACACCGCATTTGAATACAGCAGGTAAAACTGTGGGATCTTTTTTTTTAATGAACTTGTAGATTTAAGTTCAAATGCTAAAAGTATCCTCAGAAGTGTTAAGGAAAAAAGGAAAAGAAAAAGTGGGGCAGCTTGTGGCCCCATCTACTAATGGGAAGGTCAGCGGTTTGATCCCTAGGCTCCTCCGCTGTCCTCGTGTCAAAGTGGCCTCGGGCAAGACTGAACTGCAAATTGCCTCTGATGTTTTCATCGGAGTGTGAGTGAGTGTGTGATAGTTAGAAAGTGATTAACTGTTTTGTTTTTATCTTGTGTTCCCATCAGATTCAATGTAAGTCCGTGAAAAAGGTTACAAATACTTTGGAGGTCCAAAAAGATACTGTGTGTATGATAAAGAAATAAAG